TACCGGAGTCTTAACACATTTCATTGTTTAATTACAAGTATTATCTAATTTTCTCTTTGATTCAAATTTTCACAAATAACGTTAAAATTAATATTTTGTATATGATAATCGATACGAATCGATTATCATTATGCTTATTAATTCATTTCACACTCATTTAAAACTGTTTAATTTACACTAAACTATTTTTATTTTACTTAAAGATATAGCCAAAATTATTTTAGTCATGTCTGAACATTATCTATACATACATACATCTATCTTTCAGTAACGCGTATTAAAATAATTTTAAGAACAAATTTTATTAAATTTTTGAAGTTATTTGGACACTTGCAGATAGGTATTTATTATAAAATGAAATCACTTACCAAATAGGTAATTGATCGACGCGTGCGATCTCTGCGCGCGCGCACGCCGTACAGCCTCCAGGATACTGACCTCGGAACTTGTTTATGTAAAGCAATCGAGTTAAATGAAAGAGCTTGTTTTGCTTTGTGCTTAGTTTTATCAATTTTGCTTCTTAGTTTTTAATTATACACTAGTAACACACCCTCGTTTCACTCACATTTTAATGTAAAAGAACACGGTTTTATCAGTTCTCGTGGGATATTGCCGAAAGTCACTTTTCGTAATAACCCACGGACACCATTTTACGAATCAGGATAAAAAGAACAATTTTTCATCTGCTGGCTGTTGCGGCATGTAAGAAAAACAATCAAAATTTTGCTTTGATATTATTAAAAAAAAATTAAATAGGATAAAGGTATCCGCATAATCTATCCGCGTATGTTGTTTTGTGCGCATAGTTCTTCTAAAGTACGCGGTGGAGTTTAATGTGGTAATTACTATCATTTAGAGGATTTCTTTCGGAAGGTTTATAAGTATAAAACAATGTATTCGTATATATAATAGATAAGTACGTTTAATATTTAGTTGAGATTTCTCAGAGATGAGATATTTTCCCGTAGTAAAAATATCCTATATGTTGACCCAAATACCCAGCTACCATTATACCAAATTTCATCAAAATCTGTCAAGTGGTTTTTCCCAAACAGATAGACAGACAGAAAGAGAGATAAAAATTCTAAAAACTATACTTCGGCCTCTGTATCGATAATAATGACTATTTCAATAAGATTTTCCAAAAAAAATATTTAATGTACAGATTCAACTCGCTTAGAATTTTATTATATGTATAGATAATATATGTACATGAAATGTAACAAAAAGTCGATGTTTTATTATAACACAGATAGCTTGAGAATGACTGCATAGATTTCTATAGAACTTTTTTTATTCCATAAGTAACAAATTTTTGAACATCAAACTTAACTGTAAATATTATTATAGTTTTGTAATGACATGGTCAAAAATCACATACTAAAGTAAAATACATGTAGAACGCAGGATGAAATTTTATTTGGCAAGGTAAGTGCACTAGCACGTTTTGAAGCTATTAAACAATAAAATTGGTTCTAAATTAAACTAACGAGAAATCATTATAGTTTAGAACTATTTAAAATAACAAATTGTAAGGTAATATCAACTTTGTGTATTTCCGTACAATGGACGGTCGCGTTCATCGACACGACATTAGCATACTTGAAAATTTTTGCAAACAAACTGATATAATAAATGATTTACGTATATAACTCAATGACGATTTGAGGGCAATAGATATAGCAATTTATAAATCTTAAACGTATCTTATCTATACATCTATACATATTATAATAAAATTCTAACTAAACCAAATCTGTATATTAAATATTTTTTTGGAAAATCTAATTGAAATATACATTATTATCGATACAGAGACGAAAATTTATAGTTTTTAGAATTTTTGTCTGTCTGTCTGTCTGTCTGTTTGTTACCGCATCACAGAAAAGTCACTATAGGGATTTTGATGAAATTTGGTTTGGTGATAGCTGGTTATCCGAGTCAACATATAGGATACTTTCTACCGCGGGAAAATATCTCATTTCTGAAAAAAAATACAAAAACTGCATTGTAAGAGTATACTAATATGTAAAACCTAAGAATTTTGTTTTTGGTCACGTGAACGCGGGCGGAGCCGCGGGCAATGCTAGTCCATATATAAATGGACAAAGATAAAACGGTTTTGTACCTTTTTGTACTTTTTTCCCTCTCTTTGTCTATTTTCTTTTTTTTGTTCAGTAGCTATTGACGAGTTTTAATGTAATAAATAAAAAAAGGAAAAGTTATATATTTATATATTTACAATATGTTTGTATTTAAAGTGATATATGTGTAGCGTATCAGCTATCTGGTATCCATACCACAAGCCTCGTAGCTTACCATGGAACTAGATGGTGCTGTCTTAATATCCCAAGATATTTACTTATTTATTTTATTTAGTTAGTTTTTTTATATAGATAGGTTAATTCTATACACATATGATTTCCATAAAATTTCAACAACGATTATGGTCGACATACTCGTAGATATAGACCATTAGGCGAACACTAGTGCCTCTAAATGGCGATGAGATTTAATATATTTCTTAAAAATATATTGTATTGTATTTAGCCCTTTTTAAAGTCCCACTGCTGGGCTCGGGCCTCCCTTCAATACGAGGGGGATCAGGCTATAGTCCACCACGCTGGCCAAGTGCGGGTTGGCGGACTTCACATGTCTCTCGAAAACTTGCTAGGTTCTCTCAGATATGTAGGTTTCCTCACGATGTTTTCCTTCACCGTAAGGCTAGTGGTAATGATGTTAGAAATGATTCGCACATGAAAATATCAGAGATGCGAGACCCGGGATTTGAACCCGCTTCACTCGGTTTCTCAAACGAGTACGTTACCACTGGGCTATCACTGCCTTTTAATAAAAATATATTATTGACTCTGATTTTATATTTCATGGTTGAAACTCAACGAAAATCTTCGCGTCTTTAAGGTGGCGAAATTCAATTTGTTTTATTCATGTAGTAGTATTACTAGAATTTATTAGTACTATATTTTCTATCTTATAATTCAATATATCAAATTCTAAAAACTATAAATTCGGCCTCTGTATCGATAAAAATGCTTATTTCAAGAAGATTTTCTAAAAAATATCTAATGTACAGATTCGGCTTAGTTACAATTTTATTATATGTATAAATTTCTGTGATTTATTTGATATATTGACCTTTTACCTGTTTATTCTAAAATAATTTAACATATTTCTCATGTCTAATGTTATGATTAACTATTTTTTTTTCTAGTTTTACCGTTTTATATTTCGGTTGCTAGAGTGACAGTTAAAATTGATAAATACATCATAAGATGTCTAATGTGTAATTCAATTTTTAGATATTTTTAACTTACAAAAAAAACTAATAAAAATATTTTTGAAGTGAGAGTTATCTTTGTTTATTATATACATCTTGACTAGTATACAATAATTATTAGAATAAAATTAAATATTTACATATTTCAATTTCCTAACAAGCCCAAGAATAAAAAAATATAAAGCAAAAAATATAACAACACCATTTTACCTTAAGTTATGCAAAAGCTTCTCAAAGTTTCATTGTCTAAAACAAAATCACTCACAATACAAAATGTTCGTGTCACAAAAATACTAAAAATCTTCTAAGCATTTGTACATAATATAATAAACGCGTGTATCCAAAGACAAAACACATTTGAAATAACACTACAAACACATATTAGTATGCGACTCGCGAGGATGTACGAAATCGTGAAAGTTTTTTGTTATAGTCAATTCGAGTTTTACGCAATAATTTTCACTTTATCGTATCTTTTTCGATGAAATTGTAAAGGAAACTGTCGTCAGCCGGATTCAAACGCGTATTCTTGGAATTCGTTACTTTAATCTATACTTCTAATATAAAAACAGAAGTGTCTGTCTATATAAAATAGCAATCTTACATTGAAGTAACATTGAGATCATAAAAAAATCAGAAAGACTGATTGGCAGATGGAAGATTAGGATATAAGTGGCTTTTTTAACCGACTTCCAAAAAGGAGGAGGTTATCAATTCGTCGGATTTTTTTTTCTTTTTTTTATGTATGTTCACCGATTACTCGAAGACATCTGAAACGATTTGGATTTTTTTTTGTTTCAAAGGTTATACTTTCCAGATGGTCCCATATAAATTTTATCGAAATCGGTCTAGCGGTTTTTAAAAATATCAACAATAAATATATTTACAAATATATTTATAAACAAATTGCTTAATTGAATATGTTATTAAAAAACTTTCTTCTTACAAATTACCTGCTTATTACTTCTACACTAAAAATGGAAAAATAAAAATTAAAAAAAAAACCGACTTCCAGACTCTAAAATGAAAAAAATTACTAAACGGGGGTTTTCATTTAGAATAGATACCTAATCAGATATTTTCGAATTATACTATAAAAGAAAACCAACTGGATAGGGAATAAAGAAGAGGAGCTGTCTAATTTTAACTTAACCCTCCACGGCTATGAGATACACGTGAGGTTATTTTTGTCATAGGTAGGTTGGGTAGGTTGTGTTTTAATCTTAGAGCTTAGAAGCATGTGACTGGCTCAAAGCTCTTTATTGTATACTATGTGTAATCTCATGTTTGCTTAGTCAAGGACGACCATTTAAGCATCCTGTTTTGTATGAAGATGCGTGGAGTTAGGAGCTCAGGGTGTGTTTTTGAATCTGCTTTACCAAATAAAATGTAAATTCTCGTAAGTAATGAATTAATGATCTACCGAATTCGAACTATAGATAAAAAGGAAATTCTGAATTCGGGTATAGGTATATTTTTAAATCAACAAAAAATTAAATTATTATTATTTTTCTATTAAGCCGATTATGCTCATTTTGCCGGTATAAAGTAAGCCATAAAGTAATAACGCAGCAACATAGGTTTTCCAAAACAAATAATACCTCTTTACTTTTAGAAATATTAGCATTTATTCTATGACTAACACTATATAATTGGCACTAACTTATAATACTTATGATACTAAACATTGCACAAAAATCTACCGACTTTCAAAAACATCATCAAATTTTTCCCCAAATATGACAGAGCTAACTTTATGTGCCACATCTGTACTTTTCTTGTGTAGTTTGTCAAATATAGATAACGGTCCAGTGTCTTCGTCATCATCGACACTTTCTTTACTTTTGCTTCTATGTATAATACTATTGAATCCACTAACAATTCCTTTCTTAATGCCATAAAGGTAGTCTTTTATCCCAGAAATATGAGGTACTTTATTAAAAACTAAATCTTCTTCATTTATGCTATTTATATCTTTACGATTGTCATATTCAGCTTTGACACGTAAAATGGTAATACAATTTTTCTTTTCTTCTTCTTCATCTGTTACTTGATCGTTTTCTGTAACAGGTACTTTAATGGTTGATGCAATATTTAGCGGTTTTTGTATTGTAAAATTAGTATGTATTGGTCCAATATTTCGATCATTAGCTATATCGTTAACTATTTCTGTGACTTCATAACTTGATATCGGCTTAGTACTAGTTTCCATTTTTTGTTTCTCTCCTTCCTTTGATAGTTTATTCTGATACTCATCTTCATGGCTAGATGATATGTAGTCAGTATATCCTGCATCAGTCGGCAGTGCTTCACTGAAAGAGTTGATTAAAATCTGAAATAAAAATATTAGAAAATTATATTGTTTTATATAGATGTAATCAATGTTATAAAGTAGTAATTCAGATACTAATAGTATTTAGTCTAAATTCGTGGCATAGTCTAATGCACCATATGTCAATTTGAAAGTGTACATATTGGGTTTGTTCATTTATTCTTGCAAAAATATAAGAAAAAAGATTCAAATGAAAAAAAAAAGAACTAGGTACGTAATATTATGTTTATAAACTGGAGAAAGATAGATAAAATTTTATCTTGATTGCATATAAAAATCTGCATAGTTCATGCAAACATTATATTACAACGAATATAGTATGAATCATAGCTGGAGCAATAGATATTTATGCTACGCTAACAGTCTTGAAACAATAAATAGTTTATTAAGCTTATTGTTCCATGAAGGCTGTATCTAAGACAGTAGTTTAAAAAAAATGTTACTGGAACGCTTATTGAACTACCTACTTTATAAAAAATAACTTAGGATGACTTCTAAATGGTTACATAAAAATCACATTTTAATATGTAATAATTAATTTTTTGGCTATAATTTTTCTTTACCATCATACATTTTTCGTTTCAAGGAAAGCAGAAGCAGAATATTTTATTCAGATACTCTTCTAGGATAACATAATATTATTGATAGTAATTTCATATACGATATATTTCAAGACTTCTAACCTAATTTCAGTCATGCTGACTCTGTGGGAAACCCTAAAGTGGTATCGCTGGTAAGGCACGTTTACATGACTAGAAGCAAGATCAACGACTGAATGTGCTCTCCGAGATGCGGGAGCTTACATACAGCATTTTTTTAATATTAGCCATGAAAATGGGCAAGAAAATTTATTTTATTTAAAACGTAATATTTTACACCTTCTCACATCGTCCAGATAAATTAAGTTAAAGTTTAGTTATAGTTCAGATTATATAATTGATTTAATACAAAAACCACTTAATATACTAGGATTAGGCAGTGGTAGCCCAGTGGTAACGCGCTCGCTTGGGAAACAAAGTGAAGCGAGTTCAAATCCCGGGTCTCGCACCTCTGATATTTTCATGTGCGAATCATTTCCAACATGATTGCCACTTGTCTTAACGGTGAAGGAAAACATCGTGAGGAAACCTGCATGTCTTAGAGAACTTAGTAAGTTTTCGAAAGACATGTGAAGTCCGCCAACCCGCACTTGGCCAGCGTGGTGGACTATGGCCTGATCTCCTTCGTATTGAAGGGAGGCCCGTGCCCAGCAGTGGGACGTTAAAAAGGGCTGAATACATACATACATACATACATACATACATACTAGGATTCGTCATTCGTCGGCTTAAAAATTATTTCTATGCAAAATGAAAGTAAAACTAATTGTAACAATCATACTATACATATACAATAAATACACACGCTGTAAAGCATGTAATCAAGGAAGGTTATTTATAAAACGAGAATCTCTAAGTAAAAGACACAATAATATAAAAAAATAGGGGGATGAAAAAAAAGTTTGAGGAATTCTGACCTTTTGCATTAACACTCGCATTTCTAATTTCTTAGATGGAGTAAGATAACGTGATCTGCTGACTCGCACAGTGGATTGCTGATTATTATTCCTTAATAAAACTATTTCTATGCTCTAGCTTTGAGGATAAAATTTATGATAAAAACAAATAAACGAAATGTAAATAAATAATTACATATATTACGAAATATTAAGAAAATAATAAAATATTCATTTATATTAAATAATAATAACTCGTAGCATGTCTAGATGCAGTGCAGAGAGCAAAAATTTACAAAAATATTTAAATTATGTTATACCTTAAAGTAATATTTAAATAAAAAATGGCAACATTAAATATTAATTGGTATAAGGGATAATGTTTGAAACTTATATATTTTTTTAAATTACTTAAAAAATATAACAGCGAATAATAATATCAATATTATAAAAACTTACAAAGTATACTAAAATCTTGCAGTCCATATCGACTTGTTCACGCTGCTGTCAACAATCAACTGAAGGTGTCCATTCACATAGGATTTGTGGAAAAATACGGGTTTTTATCAAGCAAATAAATTAGACAGTTTCACTTTAAATACGTTGAGAAAATGGTGGCTATTTATCGACAACACCCATTTTATAATAGTGATGATTCACTGTCATGTAAGGGCATAAGTACTTGGCTTAAGGATAAACTTGTGAGTAGCTTTCAAAATGAATGTTTCCAGTAAAAATTACCAACATGGATTTTTTTTATACATATAGGTAAGTAATTAAGTTTTTTTCCATAAAAAGGTGCAATAGCCTTAAGAAGTACATTTAATTAAGTTATTTTATCTTTTGAGGGGTTTTTTCTTGAAATTCATTTGGTGTCATCGTTATGCATTTGTAAAAATCGGTTCCTAATTTATGATGACAAAAAATATTTCTATTTCCCAATTTCTCTATTGATAATTTTTCCAAATTATTTTATAAATTTGTTATTGTAAAAAAAATCTAAATAACAGCCAAAATAATGCCTGCGGCTTCGCCCGCGTTTAGATGACCAAAAACTAAATTCTTAGGTTTTACATACGAGTATTATTAGTACATTGCAGTTTTTGTATTTTTTCTCAGAAATGAGATATTTTCCTGCGGTAAAAAGTATCCTGTATGTTGACCCAGATAACTAGCTATCACTATACCAAATTTCATCAAAATCCCTCTAGTGGTTTTCTGTGATGCGGTAACAGACAGACAGACAAAAATTCTAAAAACTATAGATTCGGCCTCTGTATCGATAATAATGTTTATTTCAATAAGATTTTCCAAAAAAAATCTAATGTACAGATTCGGCTTAGTTACAATTTTATTATATGTATAGGTTACATGGCTTTATGGTTACTTTTTAGTTATAACTCGTGTTCGCCAAGCGGTCGAGATTCCATAATCATTTGAAAATTTGAGGAAAAGATAGGTACTTATATAAATAGAATTTATCTAATATCTATATATACATATATAAAAAATAAACTGTGTCCAAATGTTTTATTGATAACCCTAAAGCTCGTCAATAGCTATTATATAAATGAAAAAAGACAAAATCGGTAGAAACTGAGCCAAATCCGTCGTAAAGAGTGTAGTCTATTAATTAAAAAATGATAATGAAAATGGCATTCATAATTGGTAAATATGTATATAAAATATACATAAAAACAAATATATTGAGTCAAAAATAGAAAACTACAATTTACGTTCAGGAATCAGGAAATAAGAACTAGACAATCTATACATACATATATGTAATAAGAACTATACTGCGTGTCTGTACATCGCTCATATTTGCAAAACAAAAATATAGTTTGATCGCTTAGAATAAGTAATAAAAGAAAATTCTATCGATTTTAGAATTTTTGTGGGCATGTTTGTCTGTGTGTTTGAAATTGCGTAAAATCAAAACTACTTAATTTAATTTTAAAGATTGGATGTATATTCGCATGCTATATATATGTAGTTATATTCGCATAGTATATAAGCTATATTCGTATTATATATATATATATATATATATATATATATATATATATATATAGTCCGTATCTCAAGGTAACATTTAGTCTTTATTTCATTGAAATCTAATTGTATTAACAGTTATTACAATTTTAAAATCGAATCAACTTTACATACTTTGTTTTGCTTGGTCTGTGGTGATAGCGGAAGTAGAATTTCAAATAGGTAGACTGAGTGCGTAAGCGATCCTGCGACGGCCCATTAAGATGAAGGTTTATTGGTTTTTCGGTCCGGTCCACATAACCACTTCTATATATTCCGGCTGTTCTATATATTCTTGAGAAGTTTTCCTTCACTGTATGATGTAGAACCCTTATATAAACAATTTTCACTTCAATTTCTTGCACCATTTTGATAGAATATAAACAACCTATTAAAATCTTAAACTGTCTATATGTACCACCTGATACTTATAGGGCAGAGCTGATTTTAGTGATATATTAGTGTTTTTATTAGCCAAGAAGTTAGATAGTTTGGGATCTGAATTTAAATATTAATAGTAAATAAGTAATAAAATATGCTATGTAATAAAATAAGCGATTTATTTGTTTTTAAAGTACGATCTCGCACTTATACGTAACTTTTATATCATATTACTTATTTGATTTGGCACCGACTTCAAATAATGTAGTGTAATTGGAAAAGTTAGATTTCCTACAAGTTATTTATTTTTTATTATAAAGGTTTACTGGTAAATATAGGTAATATATGTAAATATATTACTATAGAGAATAAACTAAATTTTTAGTTGCCATTAATATATTTTGGGTTCTAATCTTTGAAAGGCTTTTGGCTTTTTAAGAATAATTTGTTAAAAAACTCATTCTGAGAAGTCAGTAAGGCTCATCAAGTGACCGATACAGAGTTTTATTATCTCACTTTAGAGAGCGTAATAAAATCTTTGCGTAATTACTTTATGTCGAAATCTATATTTATTGTACTTTAGGAATATTTATGTATGTTTACATTTCAGACTTAATAATTCTATAGACTTAATCCGCCAAAAAAATTTAAAGTCAAAAAAAGTAGTGTGCTTTTGCTGTTTTTGTTACTATTCTCGATTTTGCCATACATATCGTTTACTTTCTTTATAGAATAAAAGAAGTTTTGTAAAGTTAAAATAGCAATATATTAGTGAAATAATTATTTAAATCGTTTAACTAATGTCAGAGTTTATCGACTAAAAATAACAAACAAACAATTTTTTCCTATTTAGATAATTAGTATAAAAAATTATATTATGAGATATATTGAGAGATAAACAGAAAATCATGCTATTATTTTTGACTTACATATGATCAAATTCTGAGTCGGATCTGTACATTAAATATTTTTTGGAAAATCTTATTGAAATAGTCTTTATCAATACAGAGGCTGAATCTATAGTTTTTAGAATTTTTGTTTGTCTGGAATCGCACAGATGGATGTTTGTTACTCAATCACACCAGAACGGCTGAACGAATCTGCATGTAATTTGGCATTACTTTTTATCCCGGAAAATGTACGGTTCCCGTGGGATAGATTTGTTTTTCACAAAAGCGAACCCGAGCGAATTGAGGGTGAGCCGTTAGTATTATATAATTCTTTAGTCTGAGGTATATATTTAGTTAATCCGTAAAAATCCGCTTAAAATCCGCATGAAAGAGACTAATAGTAATTAGTCACCAGAATGAAGGAAATTAACGTTTTTAAACATGATTCATGAAACAATGCGGATATAGCAAAAGTGTATCGCGAATCTCACGGCTTTGTGCCTTAGTAATAGTTTTAATTATGGCCATGAATCAGTCGCAAGGAAAATAAATTTAGACTTATGAACTGTGATTTCATAAGAAAAAACAAAAAAGAAAAAATCTTTTTTTTTGTTTTTTTTTTTTGCAATCTGTTTTTCTAATATGCAGTAAGTGAATAAGAATGCATTAGGTATTTGATTAAAAGAGCAAGAAGTCTAATGATATGAATCTTAATAATATTTCGTTTTGTTATAATTCAACTATCTGAGCTTGGCAATTAGTATAAAAATACATTTCCATTTGCATTTATTTTTATCATCACATTCACTATATTATTACCCAACACTAATAAATTATTGTCAGATTCTTCAATTCAATTCTATTCATTTCTCAATGGCTTCAAAGCTTCAGATTTTTAAATTCAATTCAATACTTTATTATAAGGCTTTTAGGCGTGCCAGTTGGGCACAAATTAATTGGCCAATGTCGTATAGAATGGAGAAGACACGGTGTAGATAAGTAATTAACTGGTTAAAAAAAGATTTGCATACTGATGTTTGTTTACATATAAAATATAAGCAATAGATTCTATGATCTGGACCGATTACATTATTATATGAACCAATACAATAGAACGTTAAAAATCGGATTATTCAATAAAAAGTACATAAAAATATACGCATCGACTCAAGAACCTCCTTCTTTTTTATAGAATAAAAATGACAATTTGGAAAAGGTTTGAATCTTCGGAACTCTTCAAAATAATGTTTTAAATAATTTTAGTAATATAATTAATTATATATAATGTGGTAGCGCAGTGGTAACGCGCTAGCATGAGAAACCGTTTGAAGCGGGTTCAAAGCCCGGGTCTTACGCCTGTGATATTTTCATGTGCAAATCATTTTCAACATGATTACCACTTACCTCTCGGTGAAGGAAAACATCGTGAGGAAACCTGCATTTCTGAGAGAACCTAGCAAGTTTTAAAAAGCATGTGAGGTCCGCCAACCCGCACTTGGCCAGCGTGGTGGACTATGGCCTGATCCTCCTCGTATTGAAGGGAAGTCAGTGCCCAGCAGTGGGACGTTACAAAGGGCTGAATACAATTAATTCAGCTAGCATTTTATTTTAAACCTAAATTGTTATTTTGAGGCATCCGTCTTCACGAACTTTCGAAAAGTTGTGTTCTAACTGAATCTATAGAGTTAAAATCACATTTGAATAAATGTTCCTTGTGATTTTAAAGTTTAAATTGTCTAAGTACAAAGTTTAAACGTAGTACTGGCTTTTCCGGTGAGTCCCACACCTCGTGCGTAGATGTATATCCCAACGTAAGAATAGGTATTACGATTTATTATCTAATAAACAAACCAAAAAATCGGTTGACAAATAACAAACAGAACAGAAAGAGGCACTGAAGTGTTTTGTTCTTACCTATTTATGTATAGATATTATAATTTTCTATAGTTACCATTCCAAATAAAATGTAATATTATAGGTATTATTCTGGCTACCTAGATGTTATTCTTCAAGAATAGAAAGTTTAAAAATTGTATTGAAATTAATCGTTCTATACATAATGTTAAGTTATAATATGTCATTTCAACGATTGTAAGATGACATTTTGTCTAAACCCCTTGGGGCAAAATGAATGTTGAATGATAGATCAAGTTTGTTCTCTTATATACTCTGGAGTCTTACACAAGATGCTACAATTTTTTTTGGGAATGATATATAGCAGGATTCAATGATACGTACAAAACGATATCCCATGTATGTATGTTTTTACTAGTGCTAGCAATTGTAAAAAATTATCTGTAACAGCTGACCTTTGAGACAATAGTCTCTCTCGTGACCATGGTTACTGTAAAGCATTAAAAATCAAAATAAATCCGCGAAAAAATCTGATAACGCAGTTTTATTTAGATTGTAGAAAGTAAAAACGTCTAAGAAGATCTGATCCCAAGTAATAACGCAAAGTGTAGTCCCTATTACACCGCGATGGGGTTTTATTGTAGGTTTTAGGGAGTAAGGGTCTCACAGTCCCCTGCTCATTGACGGTTGGTAAGGAGGTACCACCCCATGATGGGTTTCACCATTTAAATAAAATAGGCTTCCCTTTCTGTTCTATTTTACTCAACTTTATTCTAGATAAGTATTATATTCTAATTTTCTTAGGATTAATAACAAAAAAATTGCTTCTTTACATAGTTTAAAATGAAGTTACAGCCTCTGTCTGTTCGTTTAGAGCTTTTAAACTACTCACCGGGTTTTAATGCAGTTTTCAATAATAGATAGAGTGATTCAAGAAGAAGGTTTGTATGTATAATACATGCATATTATAGTACAGAAAAGCCGAGAAATTCAAAGATTTGTTTTTCATACTAACCATTAAATAGTACCTATACTCGAACCAGAGCGAAGCGAGGGTGAGTCGCTAGTTAATAATTTTTTTGTAAAAAAAATAAAAATGGAAAACGATGGAAACTGCCATAGTTTTGTTTCCATCGTTATAGGGTTATAACGAAAGAAGCATGAAGATGAAATTACCGAACGGCATTGATTTTTGGGTTAACTCATAAATGGGCTAAACAGATCGTAAAATAGATTTGGGTAATAAAATCTCCGAAAACATAAAATAAAAGAGATAGTCATCGTGAGGTTTAACGTTTGGGAAATAAGTTTATTTATGTTTGGATACATGCATTATCTATTTTTCCTGATTTTGTTAGTATTACATTCAGTAATTTTCTAACTAACTGAAATTAATTTCTCACTATTCACTATTAGGGTTTATAACTGACTTAACCTACTTTAAAAAGTATGGGAATTACAAAATGTTACAATTCTATGGTATACTTAACAATTACATATTTTGTCATTACTTTATTTTTAAAACTAGCGACTCACTATCGCTCCGCTCAGGTCTGTTCCTACCTACGTTTTAACGCTTAGTATAGATTTCTCAGAGATGAGATATTTTCCCGCGGTAAAAAGTATCCTACATGTTGACTCGGATTACCTGCTATCATCATACTAAACTTCATTAAAATTCCTCTAATGGTTTTTCCGTGATGCGGTGACAAGCAGACAGACAAACAAACATTCTAAAAACTGTACATTCAGCTTCTATATTGATAATAATGACTATTTCAATAAGATTTTCCTCAAAATATTTAATGTACAGATTCGACTCAGTTAGAATTTTATTATATGTATATATTTCTATCTTTTCTAAACTTTCTAAAGTAAACTTTCACTGCATTATATTTCAATTGAAATTATACATGTTATTTCTAGTGATTCCTTATAAAGTAGACAAGTATTCACAAAAGTTTTCTTTTCAAATCCCTCAGGGAGTGAGGGCACTATCTTATTTCTTTGATCTATTTTCTTAAAGTTTCTATAAATATGAGATATTTGTTCGTTTTTATGAAATCTGTGATAGCTAAAGCAAATGTACAAGCTATTTCTCCAATATTAGAGATGTATGGAAATATTAAAAAAAAATCCTTTCAAATATATTCAACTTATTTAGGGTAACAAATTTTTAAATACAGCTACAAATCTTTATGGGACCAAAACTAAAAAACTGTAAACAAAAAAATTAATTATAAAAAAAACCTATTGCGTAATAAGCAAACTGAAAAGATGAGAAGAAGTTGACGAAGGAACACAGTATTATCACCTTGTCATGGTGGGGACAGGGGAGCGAAAATCATTAGCATCCGGTTATCCAGCCGGGCGCGAAGCCAAGAAACGCACTGCGAGGCGGCCCACCTTTGTGGGCGGTGTACCATACGTTTTGCTCCTGGTACTTTTCTGATAGCAGAGTGGACTGTTAGAGTAACTCCATGGTTGGTGAAGCCTGCTTCGGCAGACCTGCCGTCGGTGCATCGTGGTTGAGTGCGTAAGTGATCCTGCGACGCTCCATTATAGACGGAGGAAGTTTCGTTGGGTTTTAGAGGCACTGGCTTTGCTGGTGAGTCCTACATATCCACCTATACGAGTATGTATACAGGTGGTATACCTGAAAACATTTGCAAACGTTAGGATAAAGGTACACAGTATTTTGCAGCCGGAGACGTATTATATACAATGTACATACAAAGATACATCCCACATCAAGGATGAAATATGTCTAACTTAATCTTTAGTGTCATATCGATTTGAAACATTGTAAGTATATGAAATTCTGAAAACAAAATATTTATTTGATAAAATCAAACTTATCTGATAATAGAGCCAGGAGAAGAATGACTACACTCTTTAATGACTTACTTAAAAACATAAGTTTGGACTTATATAATAATTTTAGCGAAGACATTATAGTCTGTGTATTTTTTGTAGATTTTTATTTTACACTTATTCATTACACGTGTTTTCTCGCCCACGTAGTCTGATAATATATATATTATTATATCTTTATAAACTATGACATATGTGTTACTCTGCTGTATAAGCTATATTAGTGTAAATTTTCATCAAAATACGTTCAGTAGTTTTTGCGTGAAAGAGTAACAGACATACATCTATCAATCCATACATTCTCATAAACTTTAGCGTGTATTTAGTAGAATTTCATTATTGCATACAAATAAAGCAAATACATAGACATTTGCTAGTAAAAACTAAATGAACAATAATTTAGTTGGTCCCAACTTCAAATTCAATTATGCAGGCAGACTAGTTCCAAACTGCATTAGTCTAACCCAATAACTGAGTTCTCTGTAGCAATGTTCCTGCGTTCACAGAATCCTTAGTAAGTAATGATGAAAAAAAAATGAAAATGTATTTTTCCATATATTTTAGTTTTTCCTTATTTTTATACACCGGGCGATTGATCGATGAATCAACATATAGTTAAACATAACTTATGAGGAGGAGTAAAGAAAGTCTCGTGTAAATAAAATATAAATAAGCAAGGATAAAACAGTTCAGTACCTTTTACTCCTCTGTTTGTCGACCGATTTTCTTTTTTTTTTTGTTTATTGGCTCGTCAATAAACACAGTTTGGAAATTGTTCAAAAAAAATATAAATAGTTAAATTCCATTCGTATACGTTTTCCTCAAATTGAAATAATGATTACGGTCGAAATTCTGTCTGAAAATCAAACTGAGCGAATACTAGTAATAATAAATAAACAAATTAAACAATACAGAGATAATATTATATATACAATATTATATTGTCTTGTAGTATGATAAGAGTTACTTGTTCTAGTGATTTCTAAATATGGATATCGAACCTTTGCTACTCGATGTTATAAACTGTGCCATGAACCTCTACTAAATCACTAATAATGCCTTCACGACTGATCCCGGCCACGGCGGTCAATCTCATTGAGACTAGCCAACTGCGCAGGAGATATTATAGTGCACAAGTGTACGCGCAGACACACCGTGCACTCTCTATTCCTGTCACTCTCATACTCCGGTGGGATGACCACTCGACACGACCAGTGATAGTTAAGGCGCAGGACCGACGGCTTTACGTACTCTCCGATGCCCGAGGATGAAACACCACCAACTTCCCAAGTCTAGGCTTACTAAAGAGAAAGACTCAATAACTAAACCTAGCTCGACTCGGGACTCGAACCCAAAACTCGAACCCGTACATGCTAGCCACTACACCACCGATACACTAAAGCACTAGGTAGTTTATAACAAAATTTAGTGTTACATTCCAAATAATAGTGCAGATAAAGATTTCTAACTAAATTGTCACCTGGCGCTAGTTCTTCTAAGGCGAGTTAAACTTTTCAGTAACATGCCATCTCTCATTTCAATCATATCTCATTTCAATCGTCAACTTTGTAAATATTGTATTTTTAAGTTCAAATCTAATCGAAATATACTTTATTCGAATAAACTTTAACAAGCACTTTTGAATCGTCAATGTTACATTTTAAATTTAAATTAGGTATATGTCAGTATGTACGAGTAAGTCTGTGAGGAATCTACCACCCGCTTGAAAGGCAGGTTCTGAGAAGATCTCAAGAGAAACTCAACAGTCGCTCTTTTTTAAAATAATATTAGTTTACAATATTGCAATACAAAATTATGTTCTTATCCTACGTGAGTATCTACTAATAGTAATACCATACATTTACATCTGCAAAGTATTCCGCAGTTTAAAAAAATAAAAACAGTAGAAATAATTTCATTTAACAAGTATTTCATAAAAATCTTAAATATTTCATCCATTCAATCTCAATGAGACTGGTTGTGGAGAAGGAGTGCACAAGAGATATTATGTGTGTTTGCGTGTAAATATAAGTGAACTCTCTTTTCGTACCACTCTCATATTCCTGAGAGTTGAGTATTCGGCATGACCAGTGAGAGACAATCCAACGTCGAACAGATGGCTGAACGTGTTCTCCGAGGCACGGAGGTGACATCGCCAAATTCCCAACTCCGGGATGTTACAGAAAAACTCAATAACTAAATTTAGCTCGATCGGGACTCGAATCCAGGACATACGGATCCGCAGCCGTACATGTTAGCCAAGTGGTCACCGAGACAGTTTATCTATATAATAAAGGTGAGCAGTCACTTTCCTTTCTTTCTTTCGGTCTCATTGTTTATTGAGTATCTACAAGTATAATAATCTATACTAATATTATAAAGAGGTAAAGTTTGTGAGTTTGTGACGTTGTAGGGGGTAATCTCTGGATCTACTGAACCGATTTAGTTGACATTTGTTAAGAAGATAGTTTGAGACCTTGGTAAGGACATATGCTACTTTTTATCCCGGAAATCATCCCTTAAGGGGGTGAAAATGGGGGTGAAAGTTTGTACTGGGAAGCAAAATGTAAATAAATTGCACACAATCTTAATATATAGGGGAATCTTTCGTCCAGAGGTGGATGGCAATAACATGAAAATAATAATAATATAGATAAATATTCTTTATCCTACAAATATTTATGGAAATTTATAGAGAAAGCTCAACTTTTATATACACAATTCAGAATGACATATTCAATCCGATTAAATTGATAAATTTTCCTAATGGTGAGATTTGTATAGAATCCATTTACAGGTTTTAGTGAATTCAGGAAATAGATAATACATATGTAACAGGTATGAACAGGATTTGTGGCTCGAGCACGTAGCGGTGCATCCCGGGGATTATGGGGTGAATTTCACTCGCTATTTGCAAGTTATAATCTAAATATCAGTAGTAGCCCAGTGGTAACACGCTCACTTGGGAAACCGAGTGATGCGGGTTCAAATCCCGGGTCTCACACCTCTGATATTTTCATGTGCGAATCATTTCTAGCATCTTACCTAACCTAACATGATTACCACTTGCCTTACGGTGAAGGAAAACATCGTGAGGAAACCTGTATGTCTGAGAAAACCTAGCAAGTTTTCAAAAGACATGTGAAGTCCGCCAACCTGTACTTGACCAGCGTGGTGGACTATGGCCTGATACCTCTCGTATTGAAGGGAGGCCCGTGCCCAGCAGTGGGACGTTAAAAAGGGCTAAATACACTATCTAAATATACATAAAATCCTTAACAGACTACTATTATCTATATACAAATAGACAAGGTAAAAAAATTTCAGTACCTTTTTCTCATCTGTTTTTCAATCGATTTTCTTTTTATTTCCTTAGTAACTATTGACAAGCTTTAGTGTTATCAACAAAAAAAATATTATGGTTGATTTTCGAACACTGGGTGAACACTAGTAAATGCAAAATTTTGTATGGGTGTCTGTGTGTATGTTTGTTCCTCATTCACTCTTAAAGGTCTGGTAAATTGGGATGAAACTTATAATAATAAAATTTATGACTATGTTTTTTTTTAAATATTGGGCTGGTATGGTTTAAAATTTAAAATATACATCTTCAAATAAAAAAGAGGATTTGGGCAAGAGTGGTTTAGGTTTATTTAACACACCCCCCCAACGTGCGTTCACCTTGTCGTGGTGGGGGGCTCAGTAGTGCCCGGCAACCCAACCGGGCGCGAAGCCAAGAAACGCACAGGGAGGTGGCCCACTTCGGTGGGCGGTGGGAGGTGGCCCTCTTCGGAGGGCGGTGTACCATGCGGGTTGCTCCTGGTACTTCTCTGATAGCAGAGTGGACCTTGGAGCAACCCCATGGTTGTGGTGGTCTGCTTTGGCAGACCTATCGTCGGGGCGTCGTAGTTGAATACGTAAGCGACCCTGTGACGCCCCATTAAGACGGGGGAAGGCTTTGTTGGGTTTTAGTGGGTAGTACTGGCTTTGCCAGTGAGTCCCACACCTCGTGCGTAAATGCATTTCCCAACGTTAAAAAAAAAGGTTTATTTAACACAGCTTAGATCGCGAGTGAAGCTATCTTAATGTAAATGAAGAGCAAACATACGTACATCGTACTTTTCAATGTACAATATCATTACTTTTGACTAAAAACGATACTACCAAAATCACTTAAAAGCTCTTAATTTTTCTACCTTAACAGTATTTTTTTTAATAATATATGGTCTTATATTATTAAAAAACACTGCTAAAGTATAATCTATTGAATAAAAATTTAAGGAAATTGATTCACAATTGGCAAATTTATTGCGTTAAATTCATTCGTCGTCAAAAATTCAAACATTTTTGAAGTGTTGTGAAGTGATGACAGCTTAATTTGATGCCGTTTACACAATCCTTTACAGATATTTTCAAGTTTTATTTTTGTACATCTATTAAATAAAAATCCTATACATTCACTCGCTAGTAAACAATATAGAGTCTGCTAGTTCTGGAACCACAAGAGAATATTAAGAATTTTTTAAAAATTCATCCCTTAAGAATTCAATTAGGGGATGAAAGTTGTGTGGCATTTGCTCATTTATTTCTCGATTTTATGATTCGTCCTTTGTATCGATAATAATGACTATTTCAATAAGATTTTACAAAAAATATTTAATGTACAGATTCGGCTTAATTACAATTTTATTATATGTATAGATATACCTAAGTGTATTTACATAGGTACATTTATATTTGATATACATATGTATAAACTGCCTCGGTGGTGTAGTGGCTAGCATGTACGGCTGCACACCTGGAGGTCCTGGGTTCGCGTCCCGGGTCTGGCCAAGTTTAGTTATTGAGTCTTTTTTATATTAAGCCTCAGTAACAGCCCGGAGTTGGGAAGTTGGCGGTGTTTCACCCCCGTGCCTCGGAGAGCACGTAAAGCCGTCGGTCCTGCACCTTAACTCTCATCGGTCGTGTCGAGTGGTCGTCCCACCGGAGTATAAGAGTGATAGGAATAGAGAGTGCACTTGTGTCTGCGCGTACACTTGAGCACTATAATATCTCCTGCACAGTTGGCTAGTCTCAATGAGATTGGCCGCCGTGGCTGGAATCGGCCAGGAGAACATCATCATCATCATCACATATGTATGAAGATTGTATGTAAATAAGATATATACTGCTAATGAATATTAACAACAACAGCAATTAATACAAAATCCTCCCCACGTGTTATTGATTTAAAAATATATTTATTTCATGTAACATCTCATAATCCCACACCTCTGGTAACTGACACGTTCGAAATCGATTTTCTTAATTAAAAAATAAAACGAAGTATTAAAATGTATGGATTTTTTCATATAATATACTCAAATTGATATTTTTTATCCACGTGTATTGTTTGTACTCTTTTGTATGTTGCATATATTTACAGTTACTACAGTTATTTGTAAAATTACAAATAACAGTTCGTCAATATTTCAAATTGTCAATTTTTTTTTGTTAGCTTGTAAATATTTCAGAAACTGTATTGGTAGGGGAGCCCAAGAGGGGATATAGGCAAAATTACTCTCTTGGGCTCCCCTACTATATGTTTCAAACGACTACAAGTACCGATATCACAGTAAAGTTATTACCTTCTACTGATTCGTTTTCAGTGAAAGTATTTTTTCTATAACAATAAAGCTTTTCCGTTCCACTTTAAACGTGAATTATAAGATGGAAACTTGTATTACACTAGCGACTCACTCTCGCTCCGCTCAGGTTCGTGACTAGTTACGTTTTAGAACGTTTAGTATAAACTCAGAGATGAGATATTTTCCCGCAGTAAAAGTTTCCTATTCGTTGACCCGGATAATTTCACAAAAAGACAAATTTCATCAAAATCTGTCTAGTGTTCCCAGACAAACAGACAGACACAAATTCAAAAAACTATAGATTCAGCCTCTGTATCGATAATAATGACTATTACAATAAGATTTTCCAAAAAATATTTTATGTACATACATTGTACAGATTCGAAAAAAATTTAAAATTCAATTAGAATTTTATTATTTGTATAGATATACATACATAGATAATATAAGTCCCTCATCTAAATATTAATTTTTGCCCGCGGCTTCGCTCGCGTGATAAGCAGGACGAGGATCAAGAGTAGCCTATATCCGATCCCAGGATGCAATCTATGCCTTCGTCAAATTTTATCGAAATCTGTTCAGCTTTTTAATTTTGAAAAGATAGCATATAGAGTTACTGCACATTAATATTATTAGTATGGTAGCAACTAACTCTCGTCGTTTCGCTCAAGTGCGTTCCTAGGTGTATTTTTGCCATATATTTTGCCGAAGGCCCCTTTGACTTTCAATAAGAAAGTGATTATGATTTCAGATTTTTTTGAATCGGATCAGTAGTTTCAGAGATTGCCCCTTATATACAAACTTACAAACTTAACATTTTTATAATATTAATATTTATTACTAACATTGCCCGCGGCTCCGCCCGCGTTCAGATGACTAAAAACCAAATTCTTAGGTTTTACATATTAGTATACTCTTACAATGCAGTTTTTGTATTTTTTCTCAGAAATGATATATTTTCCTGGGGTAAAAAGTATCCCATATGCTGACCCGGATAACCAGCTATCATCCTAACAAATTTCATCAAAATCTGTCCAGTGGTTTTCTCGTGATGCGGTAACAGACAGACAGACAGACAGACAGACAGACAAAAATTCTAAAAACTATAGATTCGGACTCTATATCGATAATAACGTCTATTTCAATTAGATTTTCAAAAAAATATTTAATGTACAAATTCGACTTAGTTACAATTTTATTATATGTATAGATTTTTACTTAGCCACGTACTTCAGTAACATATTACATAGATTGACATCACTATTAAAGTGAAAACTTCTATAATCAGGTTTGAATAGGGAGTATATTCATGTAAGTTGTCATCGACGTGTTCAAGTGATGTGTTAACGCTAACACTCAGAGTGCCGATAAATGTCAAAAGCAGATAAATTTGAACGGTTTTAATTTACAAATTTTAATTTAAGATCAAACAATTAATTTGAATATCCAAAAATAACAACTGCTTATATATAGTATGTATATAGTTTTAAGTTTTCACTGTCTTTGTCGTTTACCTCATTTTATCGATACTACACTATTTTATTTATAGGAACATTTTACATATACTGTAGCAAACGAACGGACAGACAGAAATTTATAGTAACTTATAAACAAGTTACTTATAAAATGTATACTCGTATAAAGGATAATTAATTATTGTTTAAGCCGAATCCGGCCTCGCGATCTATCACTATTTACACACTCACTGCGCCATAGTATGAGAAAATATGCATAAGGCTATTAAGAACTCGGATTTATCTCACAGTTACAGCTGATAGGATTAGTTCGCTTCAAAGCTTAGCGATCGATAACGCCAATTTAATAATTCACTTGTAAATTGAAACTACGTGGTTGCATCGCATTTTCTACATCGATTATGTTTATCCTTATTGGAGTTTGAATGCGAAAGCCTTTCCGTATATCGGATTTTATAATAAACTATCGATTCATCCTCGCTCTGCTCGGGTTCGTCCGTTCTCTAAGAATGTTTTACGGTTATTATAGTTTCCTCAGAGATGAGATATTTTCCCGCAGTAAAAAGTATTCTATATGTTGACCCGGAAAACCAGCTATCATCATACCAAATTTCATCAAAATCTGTGGTTTTCTTGTGATGCGTTTCCAGACAGGATAGTAATAAATCCAAGGATTATTAACATGAGATAAATAAAAGTAGGTTTCTGTAGGGAAAAGAAAGCATTTGACCAGAAAATAGTACAGATATTATTTCAATTAACTTTAGTATGCTGAATTTTCAATTTAATTCTAATGTAAATTGAATTATTCCTTTGATTATTTATTTGGTTTGACAAATAAGCCGGATTTTCTGTAAATCTCCTCTATTTTATTATTTCCATGATAAATATTTGTTTCAATTAACATATTTCACTCTGTCTGTTTGTCTGTTACGTTTTCACACCTAAACCGCTATACCAAGTTCGATGAGGTTCGGTATAGACAGGTATGGGACCTTGGAAAAGGATATAGGATACTTTTTGTTGCAAAAATAAAACTTTTAAGGCTTAAAGTAGGGGTTCAAACTTCAAAGTTTGTATTTCGAACAAATCATTTCTCAAATTAAAGACAAAAAATTATGATATCCCCCAATTGTAGTGAAAAATAATGAATATTTCGATGTTGATGACCAATCAAGGTTTGTAGGGACTGTAATTTCAAGTGTTTTTCAAGTGCTTATCTAATTTTCTATACCTATGTATATTGTATATAATATTATAGTCTATATATTCCATACTAACCGTTAAAATGTACCTAGGGACGAACACAAGCAAAGCGAGTGTGAGACGCTAGTATAAAAATAAATGGTTATTTTTACGCTCTTATTGTAAGCAGCATTATTTGCAAGAAACTGAAGAAGTATGTAAACAAATCTAGGAATTCAATTTTAACTTGTTTCAATAATATAATTTTAAACGAGCTGACTTGATAATAGATTCAGAGAATGAATAATGGAACTTGACGTGAATTATTACTATAAAATCCCTCGAATTGTTGTTATTTGTTGTTTTAGAAACAAAATGGCATTCTTCAATAGCTGAACGGCTGAAATTGAAGACTGAAAACGACATTTAAAAGTTATGGTCAATAGTCAGAATATCTGATCGTTCTTATACATACAAGGTGGAACAAATGTATGGGACATGGAAGGAAAGTATTTTAAATATTGAAGTTATCAAATTTTACTCAAAGGATACCTTGCTTTATTTAAAAAAAAATAACTGCTACTTTTTAAAAAAAAAGCTCCCCTCATAATTAATACGTTATGTCTATACATATAATAAAATTGTAACTAAGTCGAATCTGTACATTAAATATTTTTTGGAAAATCTAATTGAAATAGACATTATTATCGATACAGAGGCCGAATCTATAGTTTTTAGAATTTTTGTTTGTCTGTCTGTATGTCTGTCTGTCTGTCTGTCTGTTACCGCATCACGAGAAAACCACTGGACAGATTTTGATGAAATTTGGTATGATGATAGCTGGTTATCCGGGTCAACATATAAGATACTTTTTACCGCGAGAAAATATCTCATTTCTGAGAAAAAATACAACAACTGCATTGTAAGAGTATACTAATATGTAAAACCTAAGAATTTGGTTTTTGGTCATCTGAACGCGGGCGGAGCTGCGGGCAATGCTAGTTATCATATAAAGTCATTGTCGGAACTCAACTAACATATAAAATTTCGACTCTGTAGAATAAGCGGAATTGGTTTTAATTCAACTTGCAAGACCCATACAAACATATCACAAACTTGTATACTAACAAATATTGCAAGTTAAGTAAAATTTTGTAAAAAATTAATTTATTTTGGGGGCCATTGCTCTATTATGGAGCAACGTAGCAATGGACAGGATTCTTTTTAAAAGGAAGAAAATCGTTTTTGGACCCATATAATAAAATGATGATCTTTTCCCGGCCGATTCCGGCCACGGCGACCAATCTCATTGAGACTAACCAACTGCGCAGGAGATATTATAGTCCACAAATGGACGCGCAGACACAACGTGCACTCTCTATTCCTGTCATTCTCATACTCTGGTGGGACGACCACTCGACACTACAAGTGAGAGTTAAGGCGCAGGACCGACGGCTTTACGTGCTCTCCGAGGCACGGGGGTGAAACACCACCAACTTCCCAACTCCGGGCTGTTACTGAGGCTTAATATACAGAAAGACTCAATAACTAAACTTGGCCCGACCCACTTGGGACTCGAACCCAGGACCTCCGGTGTGCAGCCGTACATGCTAGCCACTAAACCACCGATGCAGTAATAAAATAAATCCCATAATAAATGCCATTGAATTAAAACTTTTCGATCATGCTCCTGGAATATAAGCAGAATTGGTGAAGATTCGACCAGAATACGACTAGTTATTAGTATCAAGTTTATTTCCATCATAAGATTAGGTACCGTAAACGCATTCAATATATTATGCCACTATAATGCGTTCTAAGCTCTTCCAATCCTCTTATTCATTACTTGAAAGGTACTTAGTTTATAGGGCAATGCTTCTGTTTGTCTTGCGAAGGAAAACTTTTAATATTCGAACTACGTTATAATCTAATACATACATATATATATATATATATATATATATATATATATATATATATATATATATATATATATATATATATATATATATATATCGTGTCACAGTGTCTGTGGTCGCTTTCCTCCGAAACGGCTCGACCGACTTCAAAAAGGAGGAGGTTCTCAATTCGACTGTATTTTTTTTTTTTTTTTATTGTTTGTTACCTCAGAACTCCGTCATTTATGTACCGATTTGGATAATTTTTGTGTTGTTTGAAAGGGTATACTTTCAGATTGGTCCCATTTAAATTTTAAAAAAAATACCACCCCTAAGGGTGGAAAAACAGCTAATGATGAATTTAACCTACTTGTAATTGTCATATTAACATTAAATTTGCAAGTGTTTCTATTTCCGTTGATAGTACAGTGGTTCGCTATTATTGATCCTGATACCTGATCTTATGGTAAGGCCAGAAGGTGGATAGGTGGAACTTTTCAACGGCTAATAGTAGATACTTTGAGTTTGGGCTTATTTTGTTTGATTTGACAAGCCTAACACGTTAGAATTCTTACTTCGCTACTACTGTGTACAATAAAAAGGGAAAAATAAAAACTTTTTAACAAAAAAATAAAAACCGACTTCAAACAAATGCACTAAAAAGTAAAAAATAACTGATTGGTAGTTTTCATTTATTATACATACCTAATCAATATTTTCGAAGTCGGTGTGCTTTGGCTAAGTAATTAAAGCCTACCTATTAAATATATACCTAATCAAATATTTTCGAAATCGGTGCCAGCCCATACAAAGCAAAGCACACCGACTTCGAAAATATTTGATTAGGTATGTATAGTAAATTAAAACTACCAATCAGTTATTTTTTACTTTTTAGTGCATTTGTTTGAAGTCGGTTTTTATTTTTTTGTTAAAAAGTTTTTATTTGGATATTTGGTCGTAAAGTATTTTTAATCTTCCATTTTTTAATCGCTTTTCTTTAAGATTTTATTATTTTTATATGAACATTATTATAAAAGTATATAGCATACTGTGTAACATAAAGATAAAGAGTTTTTTTTATAGATTAAACGCGGGCATAGCCGCGGGTTTTGCTATTAATATGTAAATATGAAAGTTTACATGTTTATATTTTTGTTCCCTGCACGCTGCAGCGGCTGGACGGATTTGGATAAAATTTAAAACACAGATAGAGTAGACCTGAAGGCTAGGTTACGAAATCAGGGACGAGCCGAGCAAAACAAGAGTATATCGCTAGTAATAATAATATAATGTTCGAGAAAGCCTCTGTTTCACAGGTTTCTATTACAAAGTGATTGAATTTCACTTTACAGCGTTTCCTGTAAATCAATATTAGTTCATTCCAATCTATCTATAGAATACTCCAACTTAAATATGACATGAATAATTTAAATATTATTTTTATAGAACTGGTATCGCTTCGGTTCTCACTAGCTACGTTTCGTGAAAATAAATTAAAACTTTTATACTATTTTTTTAGATTTACGCGATATTTGACATTTTAAATAAAACTATCATTTCGGATTATAATAAATATTCCATATTCAATTATAAAACTAATTAAAATTATAAAAATGTTTAAAGTAAAAAAACATTGTAAAGTAATTGGTGCAATTTTCATTTTGTTATTTGTGGGTAGGCTGTCTGTGACAACTATACCTTCGAGACATCTAACACCTCAGTCTCTCCCGTGACCATGATTGCTGTAAAGAATTCGAAACGTCGGGAACCAAAAATCACAATAAATCCGCGAAATAATCTGAAAAAATAGTTTTATTTAAAACTTTTATGTTTAACTTGTTCCACGGCAACCCTTTATTTGAGTTGGGGGAAGAATATCGTCATTTAATCCTTTTTCCTCTTTGCTCTCCTGCACAGTTGGCTAATCTCTGTGAGATTGGTTACCGTGGTTGAAATCGGTCAAGAGGATTATTATCATTATGAATCATGGGAGCCATAGTTAATATACTATTATTTCTAAGAAAAATGTTATACATATGTGTTACAGTCAGAACTATTTCATGCTGAATGTTTTGTTGGGTTTTAGTGGGTAGTACTGGCTTTTCTAGCCGGTGAGTTCCACATAACCATCTATAAGTTTACAGGTGGTATGCGTAAATGCATTTTCCAAAGTTAAAAAAAAAAAAAAAAAGTGGCCACAACATCACAATTTTATGAATTTTGGCCGATATGCCAATCAAAACTGCTATTGACCAAAGTCTGCAGCCAAAAGTACTTTTGACTAAAAAATAGTTTTGATTGTGACATATACATATTTAATTATAATTATTTGTTCCATGTCTGTGTAAAAGAAGAATCAAAACAATTGAGATATTTTCGCATTTATAATAAGAAAATAAAAAGTCACATACATAACGTAGTTAAAAGTAATTTCACGGTTCGTTGAATTATGCCTTATGGTAATGCCATATTAAATTATAAGTACTCTCTGACGGATGGAAATGATTTTTTTTATTTCTTTGCATTCGTTTCTGACAATTTTTTTCACTTGAATGTTTATAATGTGTTATCATATTTCGTCGGAGCTCAGAGTATTAGATTCAGTTCCCGTTCGATGCTAAAATGTGTATATACGCTACAATAGATTTTATAAATCTATATAGATATTATAATATTAATCGAGCAATTCTTGTTATATGTATATATTTTATTTCGTGTATCTCGGAAACGGCTCTATTTGGATGAAATTTTGTTTTTAGATAAAATTTTGCTTCTTAATTTTATCTGCATCTAGGTGTATTTTCTGAAAAAACGACAAAATTTCTATATTTTCTCCAAAAAACCCCGAGCAAAGCTCGGTCACCTAAATACCTGCATAGGTATAATTAGCATAACTATTGCTTTGAACAAAAAAAAATACTTCGAAACATATTTCTTAAAGACCTGACTATAGATACCACACGTTTTGTTCACTTAAAAAAAGTTTTTCAACCCTTACTTACATATATTTAGTGCTACCGCTGTTTGTTTATAATTCTTAGAATTTTACTACAGAATAACTGAATAAATTTTAAAAATGTAGCTCCAAAAAGTTTTAAGTAAAATAGCGATGCCTTATGGAAATTGTAAAATAATAAGATTTTCATTTTAACCTTTTGACTACTGAACCCTAAAAATGAAAAGATCACGCTACAAGAGCCTATCTTGCAAGAGATAAAGCGTGAAGCTGTTATTTCCGAAAGTAATAGAACAAAAAATGAAATAAGTTATTTGCAAAAGAAAATTAAAAGAAAGCAGCGAGCAGCTAATCTATTGCAATGACGGATGAAAGAACTTTCTGAGGGGAAGAATCCCTGAACGATGATTACCGCATTTAAAGCTATAAAAATTCTAGCGTTTACTCGCATTTTCTCTTTTGTAATTCATTGATATATTCTCTAAGATATATCACTACATTTTATAACATGGTATTTTTTAAATAGATAAAAAAGTTGTCATCGTGAGTGTACCTTAGGTACTTGGTTCTTCATACAGTTTTCCAACCCCCCTTTCACCCTCTTCTAGTTTTAATTTCTCGACAAATATTCTAATATATATATCCTTTTCCAAGGTCCCATCTATCTCTATACCAACATCTGTAAACTGCCTCGTGGCTAGCATGTACGGCTGCACATCTGTAGGTCCTGGGTTCCGGGTCGGGCCAAGTTTAGTTATTGAGTCTTTCTGTTTTGTAGCCTCAATACAGTTTGGAGTTGGGGAGTAGGCGGTGTCTCACCCCCGTGGTTCGGAGAGCACTTAAAGACATCGGTCCTGCGCCTTAACTCTCACTGGTCGTGTTGAGTACTCGTCCCACCAGAATATGAGAGTGACAGGAATAGAGAGTGCACTTGTGTGTGCGCGTAAACTTGTGCACTATAATATCTCTAGATGGCTAGTTTTAATGAAATTGGCCGCCGTGGCCGAATTCACTCGGGAGGAAATTACATATTAATATTAAGTATATCAAAATTCATCATAATTGGTTCTGCGGTTTGGCTGTGAAAATGTAACAGACATATAGAGTTACTTTCGCATTTATAATATTATTATGGATATGTTACTTTTATGTCTTAGGTATATTCCGCTAAAGTTTCACCGAAATCCGTTCTGTTGTCCGTTCCGTTTTTGTCTGAAAGAGTAACAACATCCATCCACGCACAATTTCCTACAAAATTGGGTTTATTATATTAGACTATCTTAGGTTTTATCATATTTTGAATCGGTTAAAAAAAACTCTTATAGCCGATATAAACTAACCTTCCCAATAATCGAACAAGTGACCTTGACATTGATCCGACATCTAATTACCCATAATCCTAACATTCCATCCCGGAAAACGGAATTCCCACTGCATTCTGGGATTCACATGCATCCCGCACATAATCCCGGGATACCTAAAAACAAAACCATTTATAAAGATCACCATAAAATATCCCAAGAACATAATTAACCCGTGGTTGCTATGGGAACGAGTCGGCGCGCGCATACAGTACCCTCCTTACTCTGGGACAGACCAGTCGCGTTCTGTTTCAAATGTAAACAATT